CCCTGAGTATATCCCGGAATGTCTGAATTGTTGCTGGCGGAGTTTGTATCAACATTTAGAGAAGCGACGTCAGTTTCTTTGTCTTTTGTGTAACTCGAAGTTTCTTTCGTTGTCAAGGGTCATTTTAGTGTCGACTAGAAATTCATATCTCTCTACAAAGTTCATTCCCAGTGTTGCCAGATCTAAGTCGGCCACGCTGCACACTCAGGGGAATCGCCTCCTAAACCTCAAGTCTAGAGTCAACGTTTACTGTCCAAACGTGTCGATTTTATTCTTGTCGGCAGCCTGTAGTGTAACCGGGGAAGTTTTGCAACCTAACTTGTTTTGCTCTGAGGAATGATACTAAGCGCCACACTTGTATCCACCAAAACGTTCAAACATAAATTTCTATCTCCGACACAAAATAAGAGGCTATTTAGATACCACTTCTCAGTCCATTTCAGCTAGGCACATAGTTGACTGCACCTGTTTGACTCGACACCAAACGTCCAGTGTTAACAACAGAGTTATCAAGATTGTCCGGACGTTAGTGACCTTTTCTGTGATTTGGATCTCGGTCGTTGTAGTGACTTGTTACTTTCCTATAATCCATCTACATTTTGGATCGAGTCTCTGTGAGACGGTTGACGCTCCCAATGAGTTCTGCTATGACTTTTGATGATTCTACTTTTTGTGTATGATGTATCATATGTGACCCAGGCGGATTACTCCTTCCATTATTCTCCTTGTAATACGCTCTAAGCGAGATAAAAGTGTGTTTGGGTCTTGAGCATGTTAAAGTTTTTAACCATCCTTGTTTTAGGACTGCTTCACCTACTGTGTTGTCACCCATTAAGAGTTAAAGGCGACATAAGGACTGGGACGGTGACCTGTCATCCAATTTTTTCCTGTAAAAAACACTTGGATTCTGTGAACATTCGATACGGATAGATGGCTCATTATCCCTCGCCTTAAAGCGGCGTATGGTTGTGGTGTTAGTGACCACAAAACTAAGTTACGGAAGTCTTTGGTGACTGAAGGAGGGTGGAAAGAGCATAAATGTCGATTGTTCATTCCTTCAGATTGAATATTATAACTCGTCATATAATTCTGTAGTTGAGCAAACTCCATTTCGGTTTTACTAGGTTCAAATTTAGGAAGTCGGAAAATCGTAGCGTCTAATTCTACTCATGACAAATTACATTAATTCTCCAGGCTTTCGGTTTGAGTTGAGTATGACATGTAGCATATGAACAATATATTAATATATTTGAACGGGGCAAAATAGTGTCTCTAACATGAACGCTTTGCGATAAAAGAACAGTTTATGTAAATACATATATGTTCAAAATTTATGTTAGGGATAGTCAGAAGGTTTGCTTTTAGGACAAAGCGAAAAATAACAATAGGCCGGACAGAATACGATCCTTATTACTGATAATGTCGTTAAATTGTGTCCAATAATATCTATAAGATAATGTACGTCGAATAAAAATAATGACAGTAGTAATCTAGAACTATATTTATGGCTCAAAAAATAATAGCAATCCAAACAGAGACAAAGTATGTTCTTTTTCTCAAAAACTCTGTTGTTTATCGATTGAGATAGCTACGTTGAATTCATTTGTTTAAAGTGTAGGGTGCTGATGGATTTTCATCGACGTAGTCTGTTGCGTTAGGTTCGTGGTGGGGCTCATCTTTTTGGTAGCCTTGTTTCTAACTACAATTAAAACATATTATAATTGTTATCGAAATATATAACCCCGCTATCCTCGTACATATTTATCTATCTCATTCATGTTAGAGGATGAAGGAATAAAACAGACCAAATACGAGAACGAATCTTAGATACATGTATTTCATGCATTGATTGATCTCAAAAGAAAATCAGGGAAACAAAGAGAATGGAACGAAACACAATGAAGCGGAGAATGTTGTTAGGACGCTAGGCTGAGCCAACTCGATTTTATCAAGCGTGGCTCAATATATATAGCCAGGAAAAAATAATTTGCAGACAATTATTGAATAGAGTGAGCAATTGGCACACATGCGCTCAAATATAAGCGGTCAGGGTTATTGAACGAACAGTCAACAAGGTCAAAGTGTGGATCAAGAAGGGTTAGTAAATTGGTCTGTCCAGAAGCTAGAACAACCTATAGGGCTTGATATAGTGCTAGTCACTATAGGCGTTATGGGTAGAAGCGTCATCGAACTCCGAATATCTGTGGCACATGTAGTCGAAACTGATGTAACCTGAATTCTGTATAGACTTCGTGAAATATTAGATACTCACCCTATCCGACAGGATATTTTCAAAACATAACCGTTGAGTTATGTACAGTTCACCATCAAGATTATAAATGGGGATCATGCGGAATACTTACAAAATAGTAGCACTAGTCTATATGTCCTATAGGCGTTAACAAGACATGTTTATGGACTCAAATCTGAAGCAACGCAAACAAATTATTGAAGGACGTGAAGTATTTATTTTTCAAGAAAGAAACGTGTTATGAGGAACTATGGCGGTATTTCTGTCGGATTAAGATGTAACAGTTCGGTCACCCAGCAAAAGACAGCAAGAACTTTGTAAAAAACTTGTGCAACCAAGCTGTAATAAACTTGGTTGGTTTTGGAATGTGCTGAAACCTCGGAAGATCTCGGAATGATCTACTTTTAAACGGTGAAGAAGTCCATAGACTGCTAGATGGCCGGATGATGCCCAGTTTTATCATATGTTCTGATCCCCTCTTTGCAATCTTCAGCTTGTCCGAAAATAGGTTAAGCTATTTGGCGCAGATTGGTGAACCCATGGTAGTTATGTGGTGTCTAATATAGTGTGAAGAGCATCCATTTTGGTAATCAACTTTTATATGCACTCGAGCTCTGACAGAATATCGGTGATAACTGTATTTGTCGGTCTAATCACGTAAGTATCGTAAATTTCACAATTAGCAGTTGTAGCACCCATCTGCATGCGAGTGTTCCTGTCTACCAGTATCTTACCATTCATTTCACCAGTAAATTATTAGCAATGAGAAAATCCGCCCCAAGAATCGGTTGCTTCACTTGTGCAGCTATGAAAATCTATACAGAATGTCGACAAAATCTGAAGTCTAATATTAGAGACTGTTCCTAGTTTCGTTGGCCGCCTGTAGTAACACTTTGTTGCCTGAAGTGTGTCACAGTCGTGATAATGCTATCGTGATTATGCTGATTCCTGCTCCTGTGTCAGTTAAATCGTCCGAGCCAGAAATGTGGTCCCTGATATGCAGAATCAGTCGCCTCCATTTCTATCTGACTAGCCTGTTATCCCGATTCTCTACGTTGTATAATGTAGACTCGCAGTCTTGTGCAACACCATGCTTTTGTGAAGTACCTCTGATGGTAACAATAGGTTACCAGAGTTGGTTTAGATGATTTAGAGTGTTGCCTCGGAAAAAACATTTTTCTTCAAACTGATCTAGCTCGTTTAACGTGGACAGTGGATGTACTTGCTTGTATTGTGCATCATTTTATCTACCAAAGTCTGCTAGATCCTCCAGAGCAAATGATCTTACTAACACACTGATAATCGGTCTTACATTATAGGGTAGCCGTTGTAGCCACATTTATTTCAGTGAACCAACTAATTACTTCATGTACCTTAAGATTTGTGAGGGTTTCCAATCTCCCAGATCACATTCCGTTAATAGGCGTTGTGATCTTTTCTCGTTAGGACCTAATGTGCGTTGAATGACTGGTGCATTCAGTTTATCATATGGGTCTTGTTCCGGCACTTGACCGACTTAATCACTGAATTTTGCAGCGATCTCGATCAGAAGGACGCTTGTGACCGAATTCCTTGAGCTACAGACAAAGCTTGTTCTTGTAACACATAATTATAAGTAGTTAGCAACTACAACTAAAACGGCTCCAATTAGAGATGTGTATCCAGAAAAGCATGTGAACGTCGATAACAAATATATTTAAGTTCTGCCACCGTAACAACGGATAATTGAGGACAAGAAGAGTATGTGTGCAGAAGTGTATTTGTGAGCAACAATCAGTGCGTCGTGTACAAAAACGGAACAAAAGATCAAAAGTCATGTTTTTGGACAACAGTTTTACAGTCAGTAATGGTAATTGTACAAATAATGAGAATTAGTGAAAAAAATGAAAATAGTAGCGAAGTAGCTGATTACAAAATAAGTCATACGTTGACACCGTTGGTTTTCGTCTCAGTGGTTTAGAGGTTAGGCTTCGTGTGCGAGACCGAACGTGCTGGGTTCCAGCTCCGTACGCAGGATTGTGGGTGCACACTGCTGAGGAGTCTCGCACTGGAACTGAATGGCCGTCCAGTGATCCCAGGTTTTCAGTGGTTGTTTAGCCTAGATCGACGCATGAATTCAACTGTTAAAATTACTAAAGTCTCCACGAACCCAGTACTGATCAAAATAAGTGCATGTCAACTACCTCCACAACATAAAAACAATGGATCTTAAAGTCTTCCCGTTCACTGAACGAGAATTTGGCGATGTTATCGTTAGAAGTTGAATAATATCAGTCGGTTACGGATAGTGCTGAACAGCCTCAACTTTATGCTACAACGGATATATATTTTTAATCAGGTTTCAAATCAAACAGACCTCATAGTATAGATACACAAGTCAAACTTTGTAAAACATCACCGATATAGACCTAGCACATCTGAAAAGCATAGGACAATCACAAAGATAAATAATATGGCATACTGATCTTAATCATCATGAAGTTCAAAGAACTTATCTTGTTCACAAGCTCATTGAATATTGAATGTAAATAAAAAGTTGCTTTACCAAGAGCTATTTGATGAAAAGTATGATAAAAAGGGCAGGCTTTTTCTCAGATTTTCAAAATGTTTCAATAGGAGAGGTTAATTAACTTTGTTTAAGTAGGTTCTTATCCGCTACTGACGGTGCTTGTTTTCACTGTAAGGTCGGTTGTTGTCATTTATCAATTTGTCTAAGTAAATCTAGTTGTACATATTGTACATAGACACTATGGACAGTAAGGTGAATTGCAAGGAACATGTTCTTAAGGTTAACAACCATGAGCTTGTTGATAATGGACATACTAGCTACTTCTCTAAAATGCCCCCTGCAACAGCAGAACAACTGACAATCGCAAAAGTTTTATCTAGGCCAGATAACGATGTAAATATCCGGTGCTACGTTGTTCAGGTATGTTGCTTCTACCAACAGACTAGAGGTTCCAGCTTCAAGAATTAACTGAATGTACAGAAGACCAAGCAGTCACTGCATTGTATGACTGCGAAAACAATATTGAGAGAGCAGTTGAGCTAGTTCTAGATCAGTTCCGCTGTGGTGCGACAGAAGAGTGGCACACAACTGTCAGCAGCGTGGCAAAACAAGGCACTCCCAGTCGGTAGGTACTCAGATTTTGTTAAGGAATCTTGTAGGCACCAGAACCCGGGCCGGATATAACAGCACCTCAGAAAAAAGCTCCCAAACCGAAACTAGAAAAACATGTTGAAAATCAAGATAAATTCTCAGGACAAAACGTTTCGGTATCACCTCCAGTTAACGTCACCAAAGTACCTCGAATAACTTTGTAATTTTTTTTCAGAATTCAAACTCTCACCCGAAAAGTTCAAAAAACCAGGCACAAAGAAAAAAAATCCACATAGAACAGATGCAGTCGCTAGTGACCGCACCTTCATTCCACCACAAAGTCGTAGTGATGATGTGCTGTGCAACAGTTCAAAGCAGTTACCAGAAAGAAAAAGTAGAGTTGAGGCTGAGGGTATGTTCAATTGATGGTTCAACTTGCATTTAGCATGGGATCCGTACGCTGACTGTGGCGAGTGGGAAGGGGATTCAATCGAAATAGTTAATTCAAATGCATCCATTGCCATGGGTCTGCAGGAAGCAGTATCCTTACCACCAGAACTTTTCCATGACAGTCCAAGTTGTTCGGAAAAGTAAGTCTCACCTCGATTATTATTTTTGAGTTTTTAGAAACTTAAACGCGGATTACAATTCGCACATTGATGCTGTCCAAAACCTAACTAAAGATCCAGATGCTTTGGATGCAGAAGCATTGTTTGCGTCATTTGCCAAAAGTAAACCACCTCCTCGCGCGTTTACTGGGAAGCTAGAGACATCATTATTTTTTGCCCCGGAATTGTTGCCTAGTGAGCAATTTAACTGGAAACCGACTTTCGGTGGTGAGTGTCCTGGTTCACAGTTTAATACCAATACAACTGCAATTCTGAGTCCTGGACAGATTAGCAGTAATACAGACGAACCACTTCGGTCACAAAATGACTCTCGAAATGTCCAAACATCCACGGACCGACCTGATTGCAGTCCGAAGCAGTTTTCGTTCCCACAAATATCCCAACAATCACATTCCAGCGATTTTGAACTTAAGAACGCGTCATTAGGCGTTCTTTTAGATCCTCCACCTAAAACAGAGGAAAAGGTAAGCAATGTTCCCACTGACTATCCATCGCGACACTACGATGAACAAATGGTTTCCAAAGTAGCACTTTCATATCCGATAAATCATAATAAACAGACACCCTCCATGGTTGCCAGAACTACCAGTGATAAACCCAGCTATTTGGAGCCAAATATTAAGAACTATCTTTTGGATGGTCTGCCGGATAACATGAACAAAATGAACGTTGGAGAGGTCACTGGACAAAGCACAAAAGATCAGTTTTTAATTCAGAATAATGCACAATCATCTCTAGCCCCCTTTTCTCATGGTCAAAATGAGCAACACATGATTCCTCACTTGAATAAAATACCCGCCTCGCATGCTAGCACCCACGTATCTGGCACACACAACAAGTTAACAATTCTCAGGCGACTCACCTTCCTCCAGGTATGCCACACTTCATCAGTCAGTTTGCTCCACCTGCTTATCACATGTTCAATTTACCAGGCGGTTCTAGTACAACCCCTGCTATTTTCGACCTCGATCATTTGCAGCTCTTGCAACAACAGAGGATGCTTTATGATATGCACTTACAGCACCAGGCTGCCACTACCGCTCAAAGTCTTCTTACAGCGAATGCAGATTCCTCAGCATCAGCAAAACCCGTCAGTCACAATATATCAAACCCAATGGGTCATGTTACTGCTCCAAACACAGGAATGCGACCGGACATGCTGACAACTGCACTTGGGCACACTCCACAGATGATGACACCTGGACACCCTTATTTTCCTTATCCCGGTTTTGTCCTCATGGTAAGTTCAGTATTAACTTTATTCAGTTCATAATTGTTCAAATTACTATGCAACTGCTTCATAGAAGTCAGTCTATTGCAAATATTTTGTGCTCCATGAGCATTTGATAAACGCTTTCCCTTGGTGAAGCTGAAGGAGTGTTTAAGACCCATACAGATTTATAGTACGGTGTCACTTTTGTGTTCCACTTCGTTTTTCTCCAAAATACTACACCCAGATGTTTATCTCTGCACTGGATGAGTTATTGTTTTTACTACTTCTTTTCTTCTCCGTGACAGATTTTACCTTCCGTGTCTGAAAGATTTTATTTATTTGAACACATGCTGGTACAAAGGGGCACCAAATACATATGCGCCACAATAATCTCATTTGATTTATGTGAGAGCTGTGATACTGCCCGTGTGCCCAAACCGAAGCAAGTGGTTTTTTAAGGGACCACACCCGGAGCCTTCGATCTAAAGGTCTTATCCACATGACAGTGGAGCATTGTAAGGGGATGCAGTCCATGGTAGTCGGTGACCAACGATTGATTCATACGCCACTTGTTCCTTCAGAATCCTGGAGCTCATGTGCAGTCAGGATTCTCCAACTTCCCTAGGTGGATTCAAACTGCCGGACATTCGCTTTTCGTCCTCAATTTCGTAAACAACACCCCGCCACGAAAAGGCAGTGAGTAGGACTTTCCCGGCAAACTCTATATACTCGTGGTCATGTGAGAGCATTTCGAGAGGGAGAGCAGACTCTCCCCACTCTCGACCGTACCAGGGCATATGAGGGCATCTGAAAGACCACATAAATATTTATCTGACAGCAATAAGATGATTTCAGTTGTTCCCAATTGAATCATTTGGATAATCAGGGTTCAAATGTCTGGTTTTAGGTCTAGGGTTTTCAGTGATTTTTGACCAAATAACTATTGTTCTTGTTAATCATAGGCAGTAAAAGTAGGCCCTGACTTGCGTGTTCATCGGTTGAGTTTATCACATCAAAATCGCCTAACAAGCGAAAAAATGGTGAGAGGAATACTGTTAACTGCGATAGGAGTGTAAACGGAAAAAACCGCAGTTCAAGATGAATAAATTGTATCGAAACAAAAAGGTATGAAATGACAACCTAAGGCTAAAAAAGGATAATAATTGCAACTGCTTAAGAGCAATCGACTTTGAGCCGTATTTACTCACGTTTCCAGGCATGGGTTACTACCATCCTGTGAATTTATCAAAACGGACCCAGCGCATAATAACAGCTAGTGACTTTACATATATTGTGTCTGTTAAACATCTTTTCAGTCTACTATACTAGCTGTGTTGTACATCAGAGCAGATGTTTGTTAGTCGTGCGTTACGCGCTCCGTAGACACCTAAGTCATAGGATCACCCAGAAGACCTACTTGCCATTACTCCCTGATAAAATGTGACCAAAGCATCGCCCCCTCGGTGATCCTCTAATTTACGGGAAGGGTTTCTGAAAAATCCGTGATCGAATATTTACTACCTACACATTTCTTGTGTTTTCGTTGACCGTACTTTACAGCTTCGGAACAATACAGAGTGGGCTACTGTAAACTATAATGACAGGTGTACATGTATTCCTGCTAAATTATCTTCATCGACTGGCTAATTGGAACTAAAGTGATTTTCAAAATAAGTGAACTGGTAGACTGCTTCTTTCGGTTATCCATCTGGGTAGTTATATAAACCAGTCCTAAGTCTTAAACCCATCTCTACTTATTATCAATGATGTTTAAGAGGCTACGTTATGTCAGCATCTCCACTAAACAGATTTGGATTTTGCAAATTTTTTGCTAGATTGGTCTCTAAAATGTCAGGTAAAGAAAGTGGAGAGCCCTATCGACCGTCAATTGGGATGGCCAATTCAGATGACAGGTTGCCATATGCTCCTAATCAGTAGAATTCGAAACGTTGATATACTTTTTATGCCTTTAAATGACAGCGACTACCATAAATTATGTTGACCAGAAAAGGCAAATGAAGTTTTCATGTTAAGAGCATCGGTTTGCTTACACCCATAAAGTTGACTTGGAGTGGATATTTAGCCAGCTCACTCATGTCTAAAACCAGTTTAGTTTCACCGCGGATCACTGTCCACAGCCTCCAGTTTAGCATTAGGCTGTTTTCGAAGCTAAGGTTTCGAATACAATATTGGTAAGATTGATTTCTCTGTAGCTTTCATAAGAGGACTTTTGTCGTTCCTGTAAACAATCAGTACTCTTGAAAAAGTTATTTCACGAGTCTAGGTCTTCTCGAGTCATATCTGTCTTTTCTAATAACATTGACACTGCTACTAGTACTACTCTGGCACCTCGTCCTGACGTGTGGTAACTCAAAGCCATACACATGTGCCAAGTTGTACGTTGAGTTTGGTTGACTGAGTGTTCGCGACTAACCTGATAGAATTACCTACAACTACCAGGTTACTGGTACAGTACCTCAATCAATGTAACTGTTGGCACGAAACGTCTATCCATAAAGGAGTTTGTAACTAATCCATCAAGGTTAGGTCTTACTGTTGAGAATCTAATATCAACTTAACCGCAGCCCTTGATGAAAATGGGTAGCTGGAAAGTACCTGTCCCTCAAAATATCCTGTCTTTCCGGTATTTTGGTCTGAAAACATGTTTTTCAAACAGTTCTACTGATAGGTAACTTTAATTAAAGTTTTTATTGCTTCTACATAGTTGTGTAGGGTCACCTATTCTCATTACGTTCTCTGTTACCCGCTTTAATTGTCTTGGGAGTCTCGGCAGTCTTGAGGGTCTGGTGTTTGACGGAATTCGCTATGCTCTCATTTTCAGTTTTCTGTGTAATGAATTGGCATATTCATCCACCTCAACCAAACTAGGTGCATAATTATGTAGGAGTGCACTAGAAGAAAACTAGGGGCGAACGAACCAAAGCATGACATCACTCCAGTTCATGAAGTCATTGCAGATTAGACTTGTCCATGTTAACAGGTGTAGACTACGTGGTTGGTGTCCACGTGATTGTCGTACCAATGGCTTGAGACTTTGAATGACATGGCTCAAAATCGTTCACAGTGGTCCAGGTGATCCGTTCATTGTCTTCCTCCAAATCATGAGATTCTAAATCCATAATTTTTATTGCTATTGTTTTACTAATTTATATTTTCTCGAATCGTATTTTTAATGCCTGTTTTATTTCTGCTGTTACTGTTACTACCTCTACTATTCTGGGGTTTGATCTGAAAATTTGGTCCCACTGTTCTAATGAGGTCTGATAACTGAAACGATGTACATACGTACCATGTTTAATGTCGTGAGTGACTGCTGTCCAACAGCGTCAGCAGCGAACATGGGAATCGGTTTGATAATGTATTATTTCGCATCTCATTTCCACGGTGTGTTCGAATCAAACGCGATTATGAACTACTATAGTACATACTTTTTCAACCTGTTTGGTAGGAATATCGCGTCCGTATCATCAATGTTTGCTTGCGAATAGACCTAATCGCTCTTTCGAATCTCTAGATTCCAGGATAATTATATATTACCTAAAAACTTTCTCATCATTTTTGACATATTAACTGTATTATTACTATCTGTTGTTCAGAATGGTTATCCAAATCCATTTTTAAACCAACAACAACCAAATTCAGACAATCCCCAAGTTCAGAATCCTGGTCAGTGTGCATCACCAATTACCCAGCACCAATCCCAGCTAAACCAAGCTCAATCTTATAATAATCTCAAACAACTGGGCAATGGAGTTGGAAACTATGAAGATTTGTTAGATGTCAAGTATGGTGACCCATCCAAACAAGGTTTGTGTCATAAAACTAATTTTTAATTAAATGAGTTTGCTGTTTTGCGAGTTCCAATTACTTTCGTTATAAGCAATAGTCGAATGTATTGGTTAAAGGAATGCTATTTTATCAGTGTAATTGATTAGCATAGTATAGTAGTATGTAAAAGTCGACTTTACTTTTTTGTTTATGTACCACGCAGGTATAGTTTCGACCGATTTAAACCACAAGTTAACTTAAACCTCTTTATTAATCGTCCGTAGCCAAGATAGAGCCTGGGAAAAATACTTGTCAGTCCGAGTTGATCGAGTCGCATACCAAATTAGCTAGAGAATATCACATGATACAAAATTATTGTAGTAGTACTAATAATGAAAAAAAAAACTTAACACTGAGAATATAGTTTAAAAGAAGTAGTGGAAAGGTATGTATGAAGGTTAACTGGGACGTAGAGGAAAGTTTATTAAATGCTCTTCCAGCATCATGACCAGTTCTGCACCATACCACCTAACTTTTCCAACCACTGGTCAGTTATCGGTCCCCAAACAAGTGAATAACCGTTATTATTTTTCTGTTTCGGTGAAGAGTGATCTTTATTTTATCTCTAAAATGATGCTAAGAGCAGACTAAATTTCCGATCTCATGAGTTTACCTTTACTATAATTAAACAACTGAAACTACATATTTGTCACCTACTGTCACTTTAGTAATCCTTATAGTGATATCATAGAGCTAACGTATTTAGTGTCATTCTATGATAGGATGTTCATAATTAATCCATTGATTTGTAATTTACAACCTATGTATGTATATTAAACGACTTTCATGTTTTGTATTCTAGTTGGTTTCAAAACCAGCTCAAACCCACCCAACTATAGTTCATTTCAATCTCAAGGAATGTCGTTAGATTCTGTCGGTGGAAAGTTATCTTCTGCCTCTCATTCCAACAACGGATCTCTGGTTCAAAACTTTAACCATGGAAATAGCAATTCTCATGCACAGCACTTTTCACCACAATTTTACGCATCTGTGTCGGGTTCACCATACATGAACACAGTTGCTGCCGCTGTAGCTGCAGCAGCTGCTGCTAAACATGGACCCAATAACAGCTCTACTGTCAGTACAAATCAATCTAATCCAAATATCGGTGTTGCTACCAACCAAGCTGGCGCTGTTACTGGGCAAAACCAAATACATTTACCTGGGAACCCGTCTCAAGGAATGGTCTTGGGTAATGCAGGTCAAAGTTTACATCACCAACGTGCTCCAATTCCACACGCACAACACTGATTTAAATGAATTACCGATAAAGTTATTATATTGAGCTAGTTGTTGTCTGTCACTGCTTTGGCTAACCTTAAAACAAAGTTGTCCATAGAGTGGTTTTCTACTCGATTTCACTTAGGCGGTCGAGACATTTGCCTTTTAGATTTTTGGCATGTGTAAATATATACAAACGTCCTACCAAGATTATTACATTGAGACATGTTTTCTTCCCAATTTATGTTTCTGCGAAATGCTTGCATTAGGTTTTCACTTTAACTTCTTTTTCTTACCGATGTTCACATCCTCATACTTTGCATATCTCTCATGAGCTTTCGTTTTTGTATCCATTATACTCGTTCAGCTTGATCCTAACAAATCTAAAGCGCTGATCTAAAATAAATTTATTTGACGTATCTCTTGGTTTTCTATTAGATTTTTAGTCACATTGCTGATTGTCGTTATTGGTTTTCAGGGGGCTGCATAATGGCAAAATCTGTTTGCCTAAAAAATCCACATGAATGGCATCCTTATGTTCATCAATATGGGTATTATGATCCAGTAACAGTTGGTAGTATTGACGGTACAGATACGACTCCACATGATCGAGCAATTCAGCGCGCCTTAACGTCATCCTATAGGAGTAAAGACCACGTTTTTAACTGGGATCCAAAGGTACACATCAATGTTTGACTTAGTAATTGAAATCGTTGCTTACACTAGTTTATTTCCCTAAGGTCGAACAATATCGAATAACAGATACTTCTGTTTTTTTTTCAATACACACTTCATGTTAGGGACTGATTATCTCTAAAAGTTCTGGTAATGTGTTGTTTCCATTTACTAGTAACTTGGGGTCTTACGGGAACTTGATGTAATAGATCTGGTCAATGTGACTGGTAATTCGGGTTTACGATATAAAAGGCTGGTGTGTTGTACATCCGAGTGTTTACTGATAATAAAGGGAGGTACCACAGCCAGGACTTCCTACTGATAGCTTGTAATCATATAGTGCAATTGATTACAGTGGTTCTGTGTACGGTCAGTTCGGCTAATCGCTTTCGCAGCTTATGAAACGGTCATTGGGATCTGTCAGTTTACCGACTTACATATCTTCGCGATTCGGTTGTCACTCAAATTTCGGAATTAAAGTGATGAAGTGGATTGTGTGTTCAACGATGATATTCCACTCAAAATAGGACGTAACATTACTCGGGGTGTAGTTGGGATATGGATCACCATATTTTGCGATAAGATGTGGAATCTTTTCCATTCAAAACACCAAGTACTATTTGTTTACATTGATGAGTTTGGGAAACTGGACTACTTGTAAAAGGTTTGGTGTTATACACACAGTCATGTATTCGTTATGCGCAGCTCTAATTTGTGGCTCAGGAAGCTAACGGGTTTATTCCGTATTCAGTTTTCTCATCTAGTCTAAATCACGATTTGTAAAGTCGTTCATACCCACTCTTACAATACGTCGTGTTTATTCAAAACGTAATTGCTAGTGGGAATTCGTATAGTTTCGTGGGTGCACACTGCTGAGGAGTCCCATAATAGGGCGAAACGCCTGTTCAGTGCTTCCAGGTTTTCCATGGCGGCCTAGCTTCGATTGACTCTTGAATTCGACTATTCTATTACATATCTTTAATTTCCACTTATTGGAAGTACTCGTTTGGCTCTGTAATATTGTGACTGGTCGTTAGGTACTCAAGTATTTTTGAGTGAATAGTTTATTCACATAGACTAGTTGGGTTGTCGAGTTAGCGTTATTGGCGTACTCGGACAATACAACGCCTATTCATGGTTAGTAAGTTGTAGTAACGGTATATAGAATATTCTCAATCATAAACCAAAAATTCACCACGGATTATAGATCTTATTGCGAGTGTTTCCTCATTTGAGTTGCTGGGATTCGTTATTTGGTGCCTATTTTGTATCGACCTATTTTTTTTATCTGTTCAGATTGTAATACTGAGGAAGGAATAGTAATTGTTTACTAAACCAAACGTATGAATGTTATTGTTGTCGTAATCATTACTGTTTACATCTAATCTTTTCTTTTTTGTTGTTAATACTGAGGCTACAATATTTGTAGGAAGGCTACCTTATCATACTTCAAAAATTTGTTTACAAAAAGCACTGCATGAACTGTTGAATAAACACTTAGGAAATGATTTAAATAGTAAATCTAGAAAATACTGCCGTAGTCGTTCCCCATTTTCCTGCGATGAAATTTGGCCAAAAATTCATCTTGTTCACAACATTGTTACTGGCTATCCATGTGGCTATGCATTTGCATATTTTTCATCAGAATCAGATGCCGAACGTGTACTGCGTGCTTGGCGTAATCAAACTACTGTTTCAACGAAATTATACTGTGGACTAAAAGATGAACGACACTGTGGTTTAGATATACCTAATGGTGATAAGGTTCGTTTCGATATAGTTTTATAGTGTTAATATAATGTATAATGTCACTGCTAATTCATTTTAATTTAAATGGAACTAAACAATGGAGCACAGATTGTTGGAATTGAATTTGGAAAAAGCTTCGTGTATTTAAGGCTAGTGTCACTATTCAACTCATAATCCTGTGATTGAAAATCCATTTCTATAGCTACTATGTTAACCAATCTAATTTGGTGATTACTGAAGGGGAGGTTATCTTATGTTACGATATGACAAATGTTACTGTTCGTGAATAATTTCCTGTAGTAGCTCACTTATTATATCATTCAGCCTTCTTAAATTTTATAATAGGAATTGAAGAGGGAGATTGATTATGAATACAGTGATCTTGATTGACGTTAGAGGTATGAGGGCAGTTTGCATTTCCCGGTTGCTCACACCGTGAAAGGGTCTTTCTAGAGGTACCTGAAAAGGAAATTGGGTTAGAGGTGGTCTTGGTAACCTGAGAGCGTGACCGCAGTGCCCAAGGGACAACTGCTTGAGGTCGGTCACATACGACCTTTTTGTGAGTAATTTTTATGTTAGCTCCGTACTTGTTGAGACCTTACCGCCGGAGACGGATGTCCGTGGGATAAGGCGAGGTGTGCATTTTTAGGGTTGACCTTTTCTAACCACACCCCTCCTTGTGGGTAGGCAATATCGCTGTCATGCTGTTTGTCTGAAGGGAACACCTTACTGCCGTCACACCTCTGTATAGTCAGCAGTACGACTTCGCCTTCGGACCTTGGATTTGCTGCTTTTAGTCTTACCGCTCTTCAACTGACTAGTCTGTCATGGTAGGACCTTGAGGAACGATTGTTCCAGCCAGTATAGTTCGATTGGTCCATCACGATAGACAAGCCCAACCACCACTTCAAGGTAGCAGCAACGGTTGGGGTATGGCAACTTGGACCGATGCACATATGTGCCTTGTCCTACGTTGTAGCTGACTGACTGACTGAATAGTAATAATAAATAATGCGGATATGGAATTGTGCATCATTGGTTTGAAATCATGATTTTGCAACTCCCCTAGGTGGACCTCCCCGCGAGGAGCTTGATAAAAGGACGGAATATATACCCAGTGATTCTTGCTTTTCAATGGCTTTCTAACCCAGGTCAATGTAAACTACAAATTGAAATAGTTATCATCCTTCATCAAGTTTTTGTATAACTGAAAACATGGAAAACTCATAATTATGTGAACTAATTTATACAATCTAAGCCAGTCAGTCGTCTACAATGTAGGACCGGGCACATATGTGCATCGGTCCAAGTTGCCATACCTCATTAGCACAACAAGATCAACACAAAATTCATAGAAGTAGTTACTTCAATAGTAGTAATATATAAAAGAAAGATTGCATATAAGGATATAATACAGGGAAAAAGAATTAGTTTGTAGAAAGAAAGATATGAAGCGACTTTAACCTCACGGTTTAAGGGAAAACAGAGAGTGTAAACACTAACATTATTGTGATCGATTCTGAGCCATATCACTTAATCTCCAACCATTGGTTACAACAGTCGCGTGGATCCCAATCAAGTAGTCTGCATCTACCAACATGACTTAGACTAGACATCAGTCACTTCAAGCACTGATGCCACGTTTTGGTTTGGCCGCCCCTAACTTTCTTACAACCATCTCTAACACCCGTTAACATTGCATGTCGTGGTAATCGGTGTTCAGGCATACGCAACACATGGCCCAACCATCTCAGTCGGTGAAGATTCACCACCTCATCAACTGATTTACTATCATTCCGTAATATCCTCCATCTAACCTCACTGTTACTTACCTGGTGATCCTAGCAGATGCTGGCAATATTTCTAAGGCATCTGTGGTCAAATATAAGTAACCTACGAGTAGTATTATTACTATTAAAACAATTGCATCCCTGCTTCGAGTTAATCAATGGTTAAAAGGTATAAACATCTGTTGCTTTTTAATTTTCCCTGTTGGAATATTCATGGTCAGCTATCTTTTTTAATCAATTTATTTATTTATTTGAACACAGATATTGGTAAAAAGGGGCACCGAATACATATGCACCACACAAGTCACTTGATTTGTGTGTGGGCTGTGATACTATCCGGGTGCCCAGACTGAAGCAGGTCGTTCCCTTAGGAGGCTACAACAGAAACCTTCAACCTAAAGGTCTGATCCACAAGACAGTGGAGCAACGTCGGAAGACGTAGTCCCATGGTAGCCGTTGACCAATAATTGGTTTATACGCTTGTTATAATCTCTTTCTTCTTACGGTTATGACCCAGCTATTCCTATTGCTTAGTATTCTCGGACACCGATTCACTCGACAAGTCCCCAAATCAGAACACGGTTGAACAGGAAAGAGATTATATTCCAAATAGCAAGTCAGAAGCACAATAGGGAAAACGTCAGTATATTTATAGTTTTTCACATGAGAAGATTCTAGAGTATTCTCTAACTATCGACTAGTGCTGATTGGATGAGAATTGGCCAATCAGCGTGCACCGAAGCAATCGTGAATTGAGCATGCTTTAATCCGGTCTATGTCCCGCTAACAACGCTATTTGTTCCTTTAAGATTCTGGAGCCCTTGTGCATCATTGGAATTTCAAGTGGGAGAGCTGACTCTCCCCACCAGGGCATTTGGGGGCTTTTTTAGACAAATTATTTTATCCTTTTAGCAATATAGTTTTGTCAAGATTTCTTGTTTTTTTAATGTAATTCGATTTAGAGTACTATTGAATTATCCGAATTTCTAGTAGGTGGTCTTTACTTTTGAAGTTAGTCAAGTTAAAAAAAAATAAAATTTTCATTAGGCAGCTATCGGTATATTTAATTGGGGGTTTGTTCTCTGAACTGGATGGTTTGGTTGCGAACCTTCCATTGTTCTTCTGAACAACGAATATGTCGTCATTATCATAAAGGTCGAGCTGGAAGACGCCTAAACCCTTGACAATAACGTCTTTGATGATATGAAATTCACAATGGAAAAGGAGTCGAACAACAAGCCATCATTCTTGGATGTATTAATCACTAGAGCCGATACAAGAAAACTGGAGATTCCGGTATATCGGAAGCCGACCCACACAGATCAAATTCTCATTTACAATAATAACAACCCAATAACTAAAAAATCAACTGCGTAAAAATTTTATTCAGGAGGGTGAAAATACACTGCTGCAAGCTTGCACTGCGTAAAAACGAAGGAAAACATCCAATGACTAACCTTCAAAAGAACGGCTACCCAATTAACTTAAAAAAATATCAACCAGACTCACCAACAGAGACAAAATCAAGTACAGAAGCCGACAAATGGATCATCCTACCACACATAAATGACATCGGAAATCACAGCGAGGTTATTGAAGCCGTTTGGAATAGGTATAGCACACAAACCAACAAAATCACTTCAATCTATCCTATGCAAACCGAAAGACGAAATGACAAAAGAAGAAAAACCGAACATCATCTACAAAATAAATTGTTCCAACTGAGAAAAACACTGCGTCGGACAAAGTGGATGACTCCTTTACCTCCTCCCACGAACATCAATTAGTAGTCAAAAGTCGTGACATATCCTCGCTTATATCAATTCATGTGTACATACATTCGACTGGAAAATTGTTGAGATCATAGAGACGGGGAATACTAAGAACATCAGAGAATTTTTAGAAGCTTGGCACTCAGGTCAATCAACAAACATATTGAAATCGTTCCAATTTATCAACCAGTCAGAAAAATTATGTACAAATATGGAGCCAAGAATCAGATCAAAAGGAGATACAATCCCAATAAAGAAGTAAACAATGATAGGTCAAAGACCAATAATATTGAATGAAGATCGGGGTCTACAGGACAAGCTGTGAACCATATGTGGAGAAATTCGAACACTTCACTTTTATCTGAAGTTCGTGCTGATGATGTCGTTCAGAAGAACGATGAAAGCACCACGACTAAACCATCCAGCTCAGAGAACAAAACTCAACACAAATCATCCACCTTAGCTACAAATCGCCCCCACCATCACTCCATATTTCATATAGATGGAGTTTTAAAATGTGAATTCAAGGATTTCAGTGAAGTGATCTAAGAAAATCGTGACTTCTGTAAAACTTCAATCATAGGATGGTTAATCATATTTTGTCCCTTAAAAGGATCTAACAACGTGAAGCATGGTGTTAAAAGAAACTCTATGGGTTACAGTAGTTCCTTACCTCTATAATATTTTCGTTCAGATTTTGATATTGTCCACTCATTACGTTTCCCTGTTTTTGTTTTATTGCTAAATCTCAGGTAATTTTAGAACCGTATTTTGGTGGTACACTGCCTGGTTGGCGACCACGTCGTCTTGGTGGTGGATTAGGTGGTCGTAAAGAAGCTGGGCAGTTACGATTTGGCGGAATCGCTCGTCCTTTTAGACGTCCGTTTACTGCAAATAATCCATCTTTGACAGAAAAGAAAACAAAGTTTTGCAGAGATTAAACTTTATTCACTTAGAAAATTACAATTGATTTACACATATGGTCATCGAAGTATTGATATGAATATCTAAGTGTTTTCATTTGTATTTCTTGGTTGTTATTTTTTCTTCAATAATTTTCTTACATTCTTAACATGGTTTTCGAATTCCAGGGAACCTGTAACTGATATTACATACAAGGGTCTTATTGATAGAATAGTGAATGACTTACGAAATTGATTTTCTTTAACCTCCTACTACAAATCATATTCATTTTTCTGTTAATATTCTGTATATAGGCATATTATTTTAAAACGAAATTCATTCTACTAGGCAACCATTGTTTTCGTATATCAGTCCAACAGAGGGCTCACGTCAATAATTCATTCTTGTAAGTAGCTATCATCCAAACGAATCATATCGTTGAATATTAGCATTTGTTCAGTGCATTCCACTCATTAACCAGACAATCACCAAACATATTTTGACCTATACTGACAATCATCATGTGCTCATTAGTGACTAGCTTCAAGAGGTAATTCAGGAAGTTCTAGTGAGAAGCCGTGACCAGTAGGGCTCAACCGTATCGGGTGTGAGGCAGTTATCCGCTGAACATAATAGAAGAGGGTCGCCCAATATTGTGGATTGGTTGGAGTTAGACATTAACCCCGTTGGATACGGCTCAGTGATCTAGAGGTTAAGGGATAGCGCATGAGATCGGAGAATCTTGCTTTTCTCTTTGTGTATATTGAGACCTACTACTGCTGAGGCTGCTGCTACACTGGTAGTCTCCTCCTGCATTTGTTGTTGCGTTTGAGATAGAAGGGCCAGATCATCTGCGAAGTCTAGATCGTCTAACTGCATCCTAGATGTCCACTGTATCCCGTGCTTTCCTTCAGATTTTAGTGTCTTCATGATCCAGTCGATCACCAGGAGAAAGAGAAAGGGTGAGAGTAAGCAACCTTGCCTGACACCGGTCTTTATTTCGAACAACTTTGTCAACTGTCCTCCATGCACGATTTTGCAGTGTAATCCATCATATGAATTCTGTATGATAGTGACTATCTTCTAAGGCACGCCGTAGTGCCGAAGAAGCTTCCATAGTGTTGTTCTGTCCACGCTGTCAAATGCCTTTTGGTAGTCAATGAAGTTGATGTAGAGTAATGAATTTCATTCAGTTGATTATTCCACAATGATCCGTAGAGTTGCGATTTGGTCTGTACACGATCTATCCTGTCTGTTGGTTTCAAAGTTGGGCGTCCACGGAGTCCATCCTGTTTAACAGTACTCTTTTGAAGACTTCCTGGTAATGAGAGAAGAGTGATTCCTCTGTAGTTATCACACTTTTTGAGATCGCGTTTCTTTGGTATTTTGACCAGAAGTCCTTCTTTCCAGTCTGTTGGTACTGGTTCCTCACCCCAAATCTTATTGAAGAGAACATGGAGTATCCTTACAGTTACCGCTACGTCTGCTTTCAGTGCCTCTGCTAGAATGTTGTCTGGTCCTGCTGCTCTGTACAAATTAGAGTATATTAATCTAGAAATAATTTGTAATATAGAAACTAGGTTATTTTAATGATTTACACTAAACACAATGCCATTTTATTAGGCTTAAACAAACCCTATTTGGTAATATCTAGCTACGAAAATTATTTAATGCGATTCTCGATTAAGACGTTGCATCGGTCTATAAAGTCATTGACTGTTTGAAGACAAACCACAAAATCTTCACAATCAATATTATCTAGGTCAAAGGAAACGACAACAAACGAAGATAAGACGTCATCTACAGAATAAACTATAACGACCGGGAAGAACATTACATAGAATAAAATGGCCACCATCCACGCCTATGTGGAACATCATCTATCTGTTAAACTCCATGGCGTAGCTTCACTTATTCCGATGCTTGTGAACAACTGTCGGCATGTGTTCGATTGAGAAAGCATCGAAATATTGGACGGGGAACCAAATAAGTTTTAGGAACTCAGCACCTCGAACACATCGAAATTAATCCAATCTGTCAGTCAATAAGGGAAAAGCTTAACAATGAGGTCAGAGTTCAGGTGAAGAGTGATAATTATTAAAAAAACCATGAACAACAACTGACCAAACTTTAGGTCAACAAAACGAGCTGTTAGTCGATTATGGGAAGATTTTAATAGGCCAACTTTCTTTATGGTATGTGCCGATGATTTTGTCTGAGCAGATTACAAAAACTTCAAAATCAAACCATTCATCTCAGATAATATATCACCTCAGAAAGAATTGTGCCACTCAGTATTTGAATAGAACTCTTAGTGCGTTCAGTAACAGTTAAACCTTAAAAAATCCCATCATACTGAATAAATAAAGAATATCTACATTTAAGGCAAGTAGAGCCTTTAAAATTATTTCATGTAAATCTAGAATTGTTATTGTCAAAATGACTTATGTCATTCAAAATTGAATAAGTGGAGATTTTAAAAGTAAAATAACCTCATTCGATTTTCTGCTAACAGAAAAAGCTGTTGGAGCATTAGGAAAGGATCTGAACAGCCAAGTTACTTGAACACCAGCGTATACGTATTACCTAGCAGACGGATTGCTTAGATTAGTTCCTTTTGTATCTATCGATTCCACTGCTCCTGTGGAGTAATTTACGTTACCAAGTTTTCTAAGAATTTACACTCGTATCCTTGAACATCCTTCAGGATGGCTAACCAAATGTATAGTTAAGACTATAAACAACTCATATTCAATCCATTTAGTTCAGTTGAGTCATAAAGCCAGCATAAGTAGTTTTCTATAGTTTGTCATGTTAGTAATTATCCCCTAAAAGCAATCGTCATACGGGTTGAAAAAACTGGAGCTTTTGGTGCAGAATAATAATCCAATTATGTCTCTTACATAGAACAACTTCATTCCCAGTAGATCGATATTCGTCTTAATTAAAAAATGACCTACTTTGACCGATGTACATATAACCACTCTCTTTGCATTTTTGTAAGTAGATTTATCACGTGCAAATGTTGTTGTCACATATTTTTTCTGATCATTACAATGATTAATCTTTTAAGCATAAAGAATCTGATTAGCACTTACCCTGTTTATTATTTGATCTGATTTGTTAGAACGTTATTTTTCTCACCCTATATTATCTGCATACTTGTTTTAAATGTTGATCTTACGATTTCTGTCAAACTATAAACTTATTCAAGTTACGATTACATAACAGTTTCTTTAATAGTCTATTGAATTGTTTGTTACAGTAGACTTTGTAGAACTCTGGCTTAATGACAATGGTAGTATAGATTTATTCTGTAAGGTTCAAATCCCACTTCACCTAATTAGGTTTAGATAACAGAGTAACGTCACTATAGCTAGCGGAGTACATAAACCTATACATGGTAAGTTTTAAAGAAAAAAGAAAAAAAAAGTGAAATGGCATATTTAAACTAAGCAACGACGACAATATTTCCAGGATAAGATGAATTCGTTATAGTTTGTTACTTTCTATTCTGCCATAAACAAGCTGATATTTTTAATTATTCCCAATTGCTAACATAAGTTTTAGTATAGGGTTGTGGGTATTGTTGAGATATGAACAAAACAATCACTAAGAACCCGGACAGCTGTTTGATCCGAGTGTGGGGATCCTCAAAAATACCCATCCAGAATCCTGCCACCTAAGATCGAATCCAGATCCTTTGTTATCGTAAACACTTAACGTATAGCCCACTGAGCTGGAATCCAGTTATATGTAAGTCTAACTTCAACCTGTTATATCCACGGTCCTATTGTTTATACTTGAAAACGAGGAACCAGTACAATTCTCACGATGGGAGGTAAGAACACGGAAGACTGGTGCAACGAAGATTTATTGACTCCAAAAACATGACAACCAATTTAGAGCGAATACACTCATGTACTGATTTTATATACCCTTGATGATTGGTTAATAACATCATATAAATGTCAAGATACGTAAGTTTAATATAAACACAAACAAAGTTGACAGAGAATTGTATAATTGTTACCCCACCTAAAGTTCATATCTGTCATATTGAACAAAGATTTACACTTAATTAATACGAAACATGTTGACTTGAAATAATATCACATAGAAAATATAAATCCAATATTGTACTGACTAAAATGTCATCAGTCAATCAGCTACAACGGAGGACCAGTCACATATGCGTCGATCCAGATTGCCACACCTCATTAGTACAATAAGATGAACACCAAATTCATGGAAGTAGCTACTTCAATGGTAGTAATATATAAAAGCAAGATTGTGTATAAGGATATAGTACAAGAAGAAAAAAAGATATCAAGCAATTTTAATCTCACAATTTAACAGAAGACAAAGAGTGTAAACACTAACGTCATTGTGATCGATTCTGAGCCATGTCACCCAGAGTTTCCAACCATTGGTTACAATAGTCAGAATAACACTAAGATGTTATTCTGAGGATAAAACCAGTGTCGACTGTCACTGGAAATGAACTAATATTATACTGAATAAAATGTTACCTTGAGAATAAGATAATGTCACAGAAATAAAAACTAATGTCAGAAATTTCATACACATAGTTCCCATTGTTATCTTAAAGAGAGCAATAACGAAGATTGGTGCAGAATACTATGAATTCACTTTATTTTGTCAGGTTCTCATCAGCTGCTTACAACCCAAAATATTTGAAATCAACGTTACTATTGATATTGACATACTTATACATATGAGGGTGAATAACGATGAATATATGTATCATGATGTAACGAAGATTTCAATAGAATTAATAAGGTCATAAAAATCTTTGTTTCGGATAAATAAAGTTTGGGAGGGAAAGTTCCAGAACATTCAAATAGTGATTAGAACTCATGAAGTCAACAAACATTAGACAACTATGTAATAAAGCAACTGAAAGTAGATTAATGGTAATAAAGATATGAACTGAAATCAGTCATGTATTAAAGAAAAATGACGATGATGTAATTTAAACTTCAGAAAGAGTTGAAATAAGGAATGACGCAATAAA